TGGTAGTGGTAGTGGTAGTGGTAGTGGTGGTGGTAGTGGTACTGGTGTGGTATTAATATGATTATCCTCCTCCGCCTCCTCCATCCCTTGCCCTTATGAATAACTTCTCCCTGCCGCACCCCGAGGCGTGTCCGTAGGACGGGCCGGGCGTTTCGCCGGAAACCTCTTCACCATGTATGATCGTGAAGTTTAAATTTGTAGCAGCTTCACGGACGAATGGCGGGCCGTTTTTCAAATGTGGTTTTCGTCTTGGGGCCGCGTAGATTCGTCACAAAAGTTTACAACAGCGGGTGGTTTTCAAAATTTGTTTCTCGCCTGAGCGCCGCGTACATTCGTCTTAAGTGTGCACGAGCGTAAAGGATGGAGGACGGTTCCTTTTCAACATGTCGTTCTAGCCTCGGCGCCGCGCAGATCCGTCTTAAAAGTTCGCAAGAGCTTTACGGATGGAGGGCTTTGTTCCAACATGCCGATGTCGCTTTCGCGCTGCGCGCATTCGTTGCAAAATCTTGCAATCGTTTCGCGGATGGTTGGCGGCTTCTTTTTCAAAATGTGTCTCTCGCCACAGCGCCCTTCAATGTTAGCAAGAGCTTCACGGATGGAGGGCGGGCGGTGTTCAAAATGTGGCTCTCGCTTTAGCGCCGCGTACATCCTTTGTACACGTGTGCACGAGTTTCACGGATGGAGGGCAGGTCGTCTTCAAGAAGTAGTTTTCGTTGTAGCGCCGCGCTAATTCGTCTTAGCAGTTCCATATGAATCATTCGAAATCGGCCCATGGTTGAGGTCTCGGGAATAGTGTTCTGACACGAATTAGGGTTGCCAGGACGCAGCAGCCACATGTGTTCGCGGTGCTGAACTTCAGGATTTGCCTTCTGGCACGATTCAGGGTTGTGCAGCGCCGAAGTCCCAGGAGTTGCGTTTTGGCAGGATTGGGGATTTTCAGACGGTAGCCTTCCAACTGGACACCTCCCGCAGCGAAGATGTTTTCTTGTAGGGACCTGTGAAGAGGGAGCTTGACGGGAGGGTTAGTTGCACCATCGTTGATGCGTCTTGGGTTTATTTCATCGCTTCGCTCATTCCGCCGGCCCTGGAGCGCCATTTGGGGCCCTCTTGGGGGCCTCCTGGGGGCTTCTTGGGAGCGTCTTGGGGCTCCTTGGCGGCGTCTTGGGCTCCCCTGGGGCCTCTTAGGGGGGTCTTGGGGGCCCCTTGGGGCGGGGGGGGGTAGTCGATTGCAGCCACCCCCTCGGAGGCCACGATCCTCGTGAGGGGTGGCGAAAAATAGCCTCCCCCCTGGGGATCGCCCGGGACCCGGCCAGGGATCGGCCGGGGTACTTTTCGTCTGGGGGCCCCCAGGGGCCGCCCCGCGCGCGCGAACTAGAAATATTGTTAAGTAGTTACCGGAGATCTTAGCACGCCTCTGGCCCGTTGGGCCGGCGAATTATGGTCCTCCTCCTCCTCCTCCTCCTCTTCCTCCTCCTCCTCTTCGTGACCCTCCTCATCCCGCTCGCCAGGGAGGGGGGAGCAGCACGAGGAAGAGCGGATGTGGGGGAGCAGCAGGAGAAGGAGGAGGACCACGACGAGGTGGAATAAGAGGAGGAGGAGGAGGACGAGGACGATGACAATGACGAGGACGAGGAGGGGGATTAGGACGAAGACGAGGACGAGGACGAGGCGGAGGAGGACGAGGCCGAGGCCGAGGTGGAGGAGGAGCAAAACGAGGAGGAGGAGGAGGGAGGAGGAGGAGGAGGAGGCGGAGGAGGAGGAGGAGGAGGAGGAGGAGGAGGAGGAGGAGGAGGCGGAGAGGAGGCCCCCCGAGGGGTGCTCAGGCGTGTGGTCGGCGCGCCGAAGCCCCGAGCAAGTTGAGTTCCGCCAGGGCGTCGCCTGCGTGGGACGGCGCGGCGGCCGTCCCCCGCACTCCAGCGGAGGTCCTGCTGTGGTAAAGCCTGCCGTCTCGGGCCCTGTGGGGGCCTTGGCCCCCCTGGGGCCGCGGGGGCACCCGTCGTCGGGTCGGCGCGGACCGGTTCGCCGATCTGCGTCGGCGTGCACGGCACCCGTCTGTGCGGGAGCAGGCTCGGACCGCTGCTTTGGCCCCCCCGTCGCTCTGCGGGGCAGGAGTGTGCCATTACAACAAGAAACCCTAACACCTTTATAACACGATGAAGACGTGGCCTCACTGAGGCCACCGTCCTCGCTTTAGGGATAATAGTTCTGGGCGGTTTGGTCTGACACATGTGCAGAAAAGAACCCATATCCCCAATGTTTTTGGCTTTCCTAGCTCAGGCTCCCTCCCACAGGGGTTGGGGGTCCTTTTTTGGTTGATCACGTCACCCTCGCCACCCCAACCCAACCCGAAGGCCCCAATTTGCCCTCCGTTCCCAGTGGTGGGGGGGTCGTGGAACGGGGAACAAAAATCACACACGAAGCCCGTGCCCCGCCTCGGGCCTTCGGGTAGGGAGGGTCGGCCCGCTGGGTGCAGGCGCGGCTCAGAGGCGCGTGCCGCCTGGACCCCCTCTGGGCAGAGGGGCCTGTGGGGGTGGGCCGGGCGACTCTGGCGTGGAGACACGCGCCGTGTGCCCCGCATGGCGGCGCGGGGTGCCCTTTCCTGGGCTGCCCGTCTTGCTTGGGCTGCCCGCAGGTACCTTCTAAGTACCCTTCCTGGGCTGCCCGCAGGCACCTTCTAAGCACCTTGCGCCTGGGCTGGCCGCGCGTGCATCCCAAGTACCTGGCCCAGGCTGCCCGCAGGTACCTCCCAAGTACCTTACCCGGGCTGCCTGCAGGTACCTCCCAAGTACCTTGCCTGGGCTGCCCGCAGGCACCCTTCTAAGTAACCTTCCTGGGCTGCCCGCTTGTACCTTCTAAGTATATGTATTGGGCTGTCCGCAGATACCTTGTACCTTTGTCGGGTTGTCCGCAGGTGCCCCCTGGCGCAGGAAGGGCCATGGAGGCATGTGTGCCGCCCGCCTTCGGTGGGTTGCTGTTGCTCGTGACGCAGCAGCCGAGGAGACCACCGCCCCTTTCATCGTTTCCACCTCTTCCCTTTCTCGGGCCCCGTCGGTGCGGCGGCCCTTAGCTCCAAGGGGTCGCGGCGGTTTGGCTTTTGGTTTCCCCCGAAGGTATCGCGCAAGCGGACTACGTTTGCGTGTGGCTTGGTCGAGGAGGCGGCGCAGGATCAGGAACAGGAGCAGGAGCAGGAGCAGGAACAGGAGCAGGAGCAGGAGCAGGAGGAAGAGGGGGAGGAAAAGGACAGCTAAGAATAATCATATGAATACTTTGACGAATAATAATAAGGCGAATAATAACAACACTAAGGCCGACAATACGAATAATCAGGAGACGAATGATAATAGTACCGCTGATACTACAATGGATCAGGCATATTACTTATAACAACAATAATAGTAGTAGTAATAATAATACACTTCACACGCATACTAACATAATAACATACGAATAAGACGATCATTCACATACCAAATTTGATAATACTTACGATTCCCTGCGTACTTATTACTACTACGAAGAAAACGAATAATAGCAATATGGTTAATGATAATACGATCATGAATAACAGCTATTGGTTTACTAATACTAATGCTCATACACATACGAAGAACCATATACTAAGCACAAGAAAAGGCACACGAGGAGGAACGATGAACAAACGGAGGACGAAAAGGAGGAGGAGGACGAGGGGGAGGGGGGGGAGGTGGAGGAGGAGGAGGAGGAGGAGGAGGAGGAGGAGGAGGAAATCGAGCGCGAGGACGAGGACGAGGACGAGGAGGAAGGAAGGAGGAGGAGCAGGAGGAGGAGGGGGAGGAGGGAAAAACGGGACGGGAGGGGGAGGAACCACAGCAACCGCGGAGCCCCATCCGCCCCCCACCAGGTGCGGTTGCGCCTGGAGCGAGACGCGGCCCCCGCGCCCCGCCCGCTTCCCGGCTCGCGGGGCGTCCCTCGGGTTGCCGGTTGCTGTTGGACGAAGAACACGAGGAGGACGAGGAAGACGAGGAGGGGAATGAGGAGGACCAGGAGCAGGACGAGGCGGAGGAGGAGAAGGACGAGGAGGAGGAGGAGGAGGAGGAGGAGCAGGAGGAGGGGGGAGGAGGAGGAGGAGAGGAGGAGTAGAGAGAGGAGGAAGAGGAGGAGTAGGATGAGGGCGAGGAGGAGGAGGAGGAGGATGGAAGGAGGGGGAGGAGAGGCAGAGCAGAGCAGAACAAGCAGGAAAGCAGAACAGCAGGAACAGCAGGAACAGCCAGGGACAAGCAATGAACAGCAGGAACAGCAGGGAATATCGGAACACAGGAACAGCAGGAAAGCAGGAACTGCAGGAACAGCAGGAGCTAGCCGGAACAAGCAGGAGCATTAGCACGAGCACGGGCACCACAGGAGGCGGAGGAGGAGGAGCAGGAGGAGGAGACAGGGAGGAGGGAGATGAGGAAAGAGAGGAGAGGAGGAAGAGGAGGAATAGAGGGAAGATGAGGAGGAGGAGGAGGAGGAGGAGGAGGAGGAGGGGAGGCTTAGATTCTCCATCCTCCTTGTTCCTGGTTCCTGATGCTTGCAAAATTTGTTAGACGCAGCCCCCCTCCGCAGGGCCAGTCGGCTTTTGTGGGGCTGATGAAACTAATGCCAGGCGACTCCTGGAGCACCGCCCCAGGAGTCTCTGGCAGGTGAGAGATACATGTAAGGCAGTAAAAGTGACAGAAAGACTACCTCCTCCTCTTCCTCCTCGTCCTCCTCCGTTTCCTTTTTATCCTCCTCCTCCTCCTCCTCCTCCTCCTCCTCCTCCTCCTCCCTCCGTAGCCATTTTGCCTCAGGTCGTTTTGGTTCAGGCGGCAGTCGTCTTCAGAGCGGCAATCGCTGTCGCGGGTCATTTGGGCTTTCGATCCAGGTCGGGGGACCACATCCCTCCAGTCTTTCTGGCCAGGCAGGGAGGGGTCTGGCCAACCGCATGTCCCATGGCATGGCGATGTCCTGGCGGGGCTGCCCATCTTGTGGGCGCAACCAGAACTGGGCGTGTCGCGTCCGCTGCGCTTGCGGCACGGCGGCGCCACATAGCATCGTGCACCGAGCCCAGAAGGCACCAGTAGCACAGGCAGCTGAGCATGTTGGTGACGGGCCTCCTCGCGTCCGTCGTGCCCGCGGGGCCTGGGTGCGGGGCCCTTTCTTCTGGTTTCATGTCCGCAGATCATGTCCGCATCCTCGTCCAAGCGGCTCGAAAAACAGGTCGCCCATTTGGCCAAGCAGCTCGATCAGCTCACAAGGGCGGCAACAGCGGCAGCGCGGGCGGGCATGGTCCAGGCGGGCGTGGCACTGCCCGTCAGCCGCAGACCGCACCCATTGGCGATGATGGTGATGATGCCGAAGAAGATGGGGCCACGCTTCGAACGCGGGCTGAGGCTCTCGGGGAGGCAGCGGCGACCATCAAAAAGATACCAGGATCACTGCTGCAGGCCACCCTCGAGTCGGAGTTGGCCCAGGCGCGGAAGGTCATCAATGAGCGCAAGCCCGTGTTCACTCGTCATACGACGTTGGGCCACAAGCTCACGAGGGCCCAGCAGAAGTTGACAAAATTGGCAAAGTGAAGCTCCCGAGCAGCAGCGCGCAGTGGTGTCAGCACAAGGAACATTGTCAGTCACGCGTGAGAAGGTCGCTGCTGCCATGGTCGAGACTGATGCGTGCAAGCTTGAGCTCCTCAGCACGATGCAGCAGGTTGCTCCACAGGGTCCTCAGCCTGTACTACCCGAATGTAGCCCCAAGTCCCTGGCGCGGGCACCCATCGAGGTCCAGCAGCTGGTACAGTCCGAGGCTTTCAACGAGTACAAGGAGCTGCTGGCGCAGCAGGCCCCCGAAGCCCCCACCCCCCCGCCACCCCCCCTCGCCTGGAACACCCACGGGGCCATGTGATGACCAAGCCCGTGACGCCGACGCAGTCCCAGTCCCAGGTGGCGATGAGGAGATGGACGTTGCGGTGGAGCAGGATATTCTACTCTCGCTCACCACGGCTCGCAAGGAAAAGGATGCTCATGCCAGAGATTCCAATGCGTTGCTCAGGGGGATGGGCATTCGAATCCAAAAGCAAGAGCGTGGGTGACACAATGGTTGGCATACCCGTCCCGCTCGTCTCTGGGGTACCTCTTTCTATCGCAGGTCGGCCAGTTCCCCCCTTGAAAGGGGCGCCGAGGCAGACGTCGGCAGGTGAAGCATTCTACATTGAGATCTTCAACGGGACCTCATGGAGCACTCTCAGGCACCATCTGACACAGACGGACGCAGTCGTGCTGCGCGCCCAGGAGGCGGGCCTCTCCGCCGCGTTCGCCGGCCAGGCTCCCGCGACAGCTCGCGGCTTGGGCTGGCGCTCTCTCCTCTTGCCTGCACGTCTCAATCTTGGCACTGGGAAGCCTTCGAGTAGGCTTGCAACCTTTGCTAGATTGCGCGTGGGGCTCCGATGGCCTTGCGGCCAGGCTGACAACGGATGCATCTGGCCACGTCGAGTGATCAAAGTTTTGATCGACTTCCCCGGGTGGCCCACGGTTTCGCTGTACTCGGTGCACTTGCAGTCCGCGGAGGGCCACGGCGAGGCCCACTTGGACATCCTGAAGGCGTTGGGTCGGCCCATCACGCGTTCTGATCGCACCATCATCAGAGGCCAGCAACATATGTACACGTACGCGGTTAGTTTCCCCTGGAGTGCGTGTCAACGCGGACGTTCGTGCAGGCAAGACCGCGGAGGGCGTGCATGTACATATGTCGTTGCTCGCCCAGATCATCGGCGGCGACTGGAACTCGCCCCCAACTCTTGAAGAAGCTAGTTCCCTTAGGAAGCTGGGCATGCTTACCGCGTCTCCGTTGGTTCCCAGGCACCCGTCGCCCGCGTCGAGCGGCGCGATCGATCTCTTCGCTTCTGGTCGCGGGGTGGCGCGCCTCATGCACGACGCCCCCGTCGCGGGGAGTGAAGCCGCGTCGCTCCGCCCGACGCACAATCGAGCGCGGCTGTCTTGGACCGAAGCAGCTGGCGCATAGATCGCGCCGACGTCTTCCGCTCGACCCGCCTTGGGCCTAGGCCGGTCTCTGGCGAGCGGCGAGGTGCTCTGGCGCGCTCCGCCCGTGCTGCGGCCCATGCGACCCGCTCCTCTTCGCGCTTAGCATGGCAAGTATCCTCTAAGGCCTGGGCCCAGTTTGATTGATTGCGTTGAGATGGAGCTCATCAGATCACTTGGCGTCGAGCGTTGCGAACCGGGGGAGAGGGGTGGGGCGATCAAGCCATCGCGGGCTTCGATCTTTTATCGCCCGAAGGATCCAGATGATATGCTCCAGGTCATCGCAGGTTGGAAATGGCTCTACCACTCGTTCTCTGAGTTTCTCGCGCTGGCGCGCGCGCCCAAGCGGGGCAGGGCTTTGCGCCGGCAGATGCAGGTGCCCCGGCAGCACGCGCGCTCGGGGGAAGAAGGTCCGCGCGCCCGCCCCGACGCGCCCCTTCGCGCGACTCGCGAGACCGCTGGCGCGGCGCGCAGATCGACCCGACGAGCAGGCTCGGTGCGAGCGAGTTCCCCAGCTCTTAGAGGACATCCAGGCCGACTTCGACGAGGCCGCGGCAGCTGGTGGCGAGGCGCATCGGGAGTCTTGGGATGAGTGGCCCACGGGAGCTCTTCAGGGTTCGGCGCGCACGATGCGCGGATTCACTCGTATCCAGAAGACTTGGGCCCCGACGGTTGTTCAGAGCTCACCTGGGGCGCTATCCGGACCCCAGCGGCTTCCTGATCCCCGAGGCTCAGCAATTTGGGGAGTTCTGGTATGTCGCGTCAGAGCCACCACTTGCATGGGTTCCGAGCCTCCCCATCATCACTTAGATGGACATGGCAGTCGTTCAGTCGCGCGACATCGCAGTCTCTGGATGGACCCCGCCCGCGCCACTTCGCCAGCTCGAGCGACCAAGGGCTGGGGGCCCCAGCGATGCCCTGCGAAGCCGCGGAGCGGATAGGCCTCTTCCCAGCCCAGGCGCTGCGGACGTTGATGCCTCTTCTGGAGAAGCTTAAAGGCGGCCTACGCCCGATCCTTCCGTTAGGCGCGCCCGTCCACATATGGGAGAGGCTCCGTCGGAGCCGAGCTGGTGATTTTCTGGTGGATGGGGCCCAGCGGCCCCGCTGGGCCCCCGGGGGCGGCGCGAGCTCGGAGGCGGCCGCCCGGCAGCAAAGAGCGAAAGCGGGACGGGCTTCTTCTCGGGGCAAGTCTTCTGCAGGTCTGGGACGGGATGAAGTGCGATGAGTCGTTTGTCTTGGTCTGGCACCGCGATCGAGCTGCTTTCTGAGGGGGCCCCATGGCCCCCATCAGGACCCTCTACAATGCATGGCGTGGGCCTCGGATGCCACGATTGGGCCCCAACTGCTCCCCAGTGGTCCTTTATGCTGCCTCGGGACCTCGGGCCCCCAAGCAGGTGGCATATTTCACCATGTGTTTGTCAGGTTATGCTATGTTTGAGTTCGACAGCGTCACGGTGGTGGCGCATGGGAGGAGGGCGAGGTAGCGGCAGCACTTACGAGGGCAGGTAACGATTTCAAGGATGTCTTCCAGCGGGGCCCGAAGGTTCGCCTCGCGGGGGAAAGGCTGCCACCCCTTTTTTCGACGCCTGGTTTGGCTCGCAGACTCGCGCGGGGACTGCGAGCAGCCTGTCCTTCGGCGGCATCCAAAGCCGTCGCTTCGCTGGGCACTGACCTGGCCCCAGGACAGAAGAAGGGGCGCAAGTGGGGGCTCTTGAAACGGCGTTAACGTCCAAAAGTTAGGCGCACGCGCCATCGTTTGCTATCCCACTGTTGTCGTAAACTCCGCGGCGATAAGACCAGGACGTCGAAGATTTACTCGGCAGGCGTGCGACCTGCAGCTGGATATGGAGCTCTCGGCCACTCCGACGCGGAGCCC